GGATAAGAAGGAAATTATGAAAATAATACCATTCACAGTATCTTCAAGAAAAATGAAATACCTAGGAGTTAACCTAGAAAGTGAAAGACTTCTACAAAGAAAACTATAGGACTCTGAAAAAGGAGATTGAAAAAGACCTCAGAAAATGAAAAGATGTTCTCTGTTCCTGGATAGGCAGAATCAATATTGTCAAAATGGCCATACTCCCAAAACTATTACACAGATTCAATGCAGTCCCAATCAAAATACCAACAGCATACTTTATTGATCTTGAAAAAAACAATCCTAAAATTCATAGAGAATTAGAAGCCCCAAAATAGCAAAAGCACTTTTGAGCAATAAGAGCAAAGCCAGAAGCATAGCAATACCTGACTTTAAACTATGCTACAAAGCAGTAGTGATAAAAATGGCATGGTACTAGAACAAAAACAGATAGGTGGATCAATGGAACAGAATTTAGGATACAGAAACCTCTCCTGACACATTCAGCTATTTGATCTTCAACAAAGGGGCCAAAAGCATATGTTGGAGGAAAGATCCTATTCAGTAAGTGGTGCTGGGCAAACTGGTTATCTCTGTGCAGAAGATTGAAACTGGACCCTCATCTCTCATCGTATACTAAATTAAAATTAAAATGCATCACAGCTTTACACATTAAAATAGAAACATTAAACCAATTGGAACATAAAATACGCAAAACACTTGAAGACATAGGCATAGGAAAGGATTTTCTAAACAGAACCTCAATTGCATAAGAAATAACAGCAAGAATGAATAAATAAATGGGATTATATCAGGTTAAAAAGCTTTTGTACGCAAAAGAATCAATCATTAGAGTGAAGAGACAGCCTATAGAATTGGGAAAAATATTTGCCAGCTACTCCTTAGAAAGAGACCTGATATCTAGAATGTAGAAAGGACTAAAAACAAACAAACAAACAAACCACCTAAAATTAAAGATCCAGTCAAGAAATGGGCAAAAGAAATGAACAGACAACTTCACAGAGGAAGAAATACAAATGGCCAACAAATGCATAAAAAAATGCCCAATATCTCTGGCCATTGGAAAAATGCAAATTAAAGCACCCTAAGATTCTGTCTTACTCCAGAAAGAATGGCAATCATTAAGAAACCAAACAATTACAAATGGTCATGAGGCTGTGGTGAAAAAGAACCCCCTTTCATTGTTAGTGGGAATGCAAACCAGTACAACCATTATGGAACTCAGTGTAGAGATTTCTCAAAGAACTGAAATTAGAAATTCCATATGACCCAGCAATTCTCCTTCCTAGGTATCTTCCTTAAAGAGTTTAAGACATTGCCTCAATTCACCAATCAAGAGAAATAGACCAGCAGAATGGATTAAGAAGCAAGATCCAATAATATGTTGTATACAAAACACGTCTAGTGTAAAAAGAAGCCCATAGACTGAAAGTGAAAGGACAGAAAAATTCTTCATGTAACAGGAGCCCCCCTCCAAAAAAAAGCAGGGGTAGCAATCTTATTCAAAGACAAAGTAAGTTTCAAACTTAAACTGATTGAAAGAGACAAAGAAGTTCACTACATACTGTGAAGGGAACAACTCAAGAGGAAGAGATAACAAATAATTTATTTTTAATTTATTGAGTATGTCACAAAATATATATATATATATTTTTCCCTCTTTTCTTCTTTTTTTCCTTTTTCTTTTTCTTCCTCTGATGCTCGGGATTAAACTCGGCACATTGTTCTGGCTAGGCAGGTGCAGCACTATTGAGCTAAATCTCAGGCTTTACATTTCATATTTTTAAAATTTATCAATACATTAATCCTTGTCTCTATATGTTGGTCTACCAAATTGATGAGTTATTTCGGTTCATTTTCTTTGCTTTTTCATTTGAGAATTTATGAAATCTATATCTATGAGTAGTATGAAAAGTATTAAGGTCCATCTGTCATTTTCCTCTTTTTATCTCTGCTTTCCACAAACTTCCTTTTCTGTCACTACAGCTTGTTTCGTTGGAAATTTGTTAAGACAAATGTTGTTATGTTATCAATATATCTTTGTAACTATTTTCTACTGATGACAAATATTATTTTTTAAGTAAATTTTATTATAACTATACTTAAATAAATCATTAATATCATTTAGTATCTGGTACATATTACAAATTCTCCAACTCCCTCAAAGATGATATTTGTTTTTTCTCAAATCACACAAATCACCAGCATTCCACACATCACTGCACTGTTTCATTATAACAAAGTATATATTGTATTGTCAAAAATATGCATTGTGTATGTGTGTGGGGGGTATGTTTTTACACATATGTGCATTAT